CTAAGGATTTCAAACATATTAACTATTGAGACACAGATATATTAAAAAATAAACTGCTTTATTACTATTGGTAGTCAAATGAAGAAGTTGAGTTTGTAACTACCAACTTTTGACTTGCCACTGACAGCTAGTGTTACTGATTGTTTGCTTATTTTTAGCACAAAGCTACACAGTGGACTATCTGTACTCTGTCCACTGCAAGGAGTCTAACCCTTAGTGCTGACACAGTACAGAACAGTGTCACTGAAGGAAAATAGCTCATGTAGTGTGTTTATACCACACTTTTGGAATTGATGAGTTACAGAATGTGAATGACATAGTAAAAAGTTTAGTGTGAAGTTATACAATATTTATTATTAAAGCATTATAGAAACACATTTAAGCAAGTTTTTGCATTGCTTTGTTTATTGTGTCCAGTACATTATACATTATTCAGCTTGCCACTAAAGTAAACATACAAACTCAAATGTAAAAATATGTATGAGTTTACTAGTGTGACTACTAAAATAAGAAACTTAGCTAATGTTTTCTACTAAAAAGTACACAAATTTCTAAGAAAACATTTAGTCCATTGTAAGCTCTGATTACTTTATAAGTTATTACAGCTTAAGGATAATATTCTAATACTTATTGAAATATTCAATTTCAAATGACATTACATGACAAAGAAAAAAAATATATTGTAGAAATAATAATATAATGTATCTCCACAATTCCTATAAAAATCATCATCCAATAGAGGCAGCACCATCAAAACTGTCATTATTGAAACACATATGTTCAGTTTTAAATGGCTTCTTTGTAGAGACATGTAAAACATTTGGATAAATGCAATTACTTACAAAAACAATTCCATTTTAGAGACTGTATCAAAGCATTATTAATGTACTTCTGGATTTAAATACACCTTTTTTTATTTCTCCTTAAATATATAGATATGTCATATAGCAAAACCCTCTGAGCTTAACATATAATGAGCCAAGCCTATTTCTAAACTTATTACAGCAAATTAGTATTAACAATAAAACAACTTCACTGTGTTTGTACATTTGGTTTCTGTAAATGCAAAGTATAACATAACATATACTTGTTTTTATCAATTTTTAGGACAACTGTTACAAGCTAAAACACATCACAAAATAATCAAGTAAATGACATGTTTATTCATGAGCTAGTTTGAAATCTAAAACCTATAAAATAACCTACTTCTGTAAATTTAGTGGGCTTTGGTTTAGTTGTTTTTGGTTTTTGTTTCTCTCTCTCTTCATCTTTTTCCCACAAATCTTGCAGTTTCTGAGAAGCCATGATATCTCCAGAAATCTTCAACTTTCCAGCCATAAATGCCTGAAATAAATAAAACAAAATTAAATGGGCACTTTCATACAATTGCTTCAAATAAGTTAGTTTGTACATGATGTAAATTATCCATATTAATAAAACAAAAAGATCACTTTGAGAAAAAACTCAAAATAAAAACAATAGATCATAGGCAGGACTAAGCAGGGGCAAAGGGAAGCAGTTCTTCCACTTTGTATACACACACAACATTCCCAATAATAAAATCACACTTTTTTTCCTCCTCCCCACATTTTGGTCCCAAATTCCACCCATGCAATGGATGGTATGGCATAATCAGTTGAATGAAAACAAAAAAAATGTATACTTTTCATAAAGAATACATCTCACCTTTTTCAAAATGTTCAAAGTAGTATTTAGCTAAACAACCAAAATAAGGGTAATGCTCTCTTTACAACAGACTTTGAAGAAACTTGGTTAACTTAAGTAACAAGAAATTAAACTGCAAATTAAATTTTCTTTTTGCCTAATGGTTTTTTAGAAACCATTTTTTATAATAAAAAACTACAAAATAACTGAAATGATAAATAGTACTCAGCATTAATGTTTTATTACAAAATATAATCTGATTTTTACCAATAATTTTAGTTTAATCTTTCACTGATAAACAGTAACCAGCATTGAGCTTTACTAAAAGGTATAATTTAATTCTAAAACCTATATCCCACTTTTATTGATAAAAACATAACTTGAAGATGATAAGAATCAAGTAATAAATCTTGGCTAAAAAATGTGTATACAATTAATAATCAGTTTAAATTTTCTTTAACTTTAAACCAACAAAATTTTTTTTCAACATTAGAAGTGGACATAACAAAAAAAAAGTTTATACTAATAATTTCCACTTATAATCCTCAAATCTTAATAGCTAACCTTCTGTGGGTCTAATTTGCCTGTTACAAGTTTGTCAAGTATGTCATCATCCATTGTTAAGGTACAATCAGCTTTTCCCTGTTTGGCTTCACCCTGGTACACAGAGCCATTCCCATGTTTTAAGTCAGTAACTATAACAAAATTGTAAAATAATAATAATTAGAATACAACTATATTATAATAGATGATGTTCCACAGTTAAAAACATATTTTGAATATTAGTTCAGAATTTGGTAAAGAATTAAATTTGCAATATTAACAGTGAAGCACTCAAAAATGAGTCCAAAACATAGACTCAAAATGATGAAAAACAGCAGGAGAAATACGAGACCTCAGTCCACATATAAAACTTTATATTCTGAAACATTTGTTTTACAAAAATTTTAAAAATTCAAAAAGTGAAAAAAAAATTATCATCATATTTTATAAACTTACTATTGATAAACTGAGCTACTGTTGAGACTGTGAAATTTCTAACTAAATGTGCTTCTTTCTTAAAACATACTAGAAATTCTCATGTACAGTTTGCACCTAATTTCCCAATGCTATGTTTTCATTTCCTTACATAAATCAATAAAATCTACAGGAATGCTTCAAACTTCTTCTATTACAATGTTTTTATGATATTCAGCTGAGGATGATAAATAACAAAAAGGCAACATGAAGAGATTTGATGTGGTCAATACTCAGTCAGAGAACAGAACAGATTTCTAAATAGTACATTTAAAACAATCCCAAATCTTTCAGTACATACATACATTTCCCTCCATATACATACAATCTGGGATTTTGATTTGTGTATCCAAAACCGTAATCTTGACTGAAAATACAAGTTTGTTTTGTTAACCCTTTTGCAACGGGTTTCGTGTATTTTACATGATCTTGTAACCACCATGTAGCCATGTATGCACACCATAACTCTGTAGCTTCATAAAATTTGGCAAGCTTTTAGTAAACATTACAAGTTTTTGGTAGACATAAAATTAAAATTTTTAATTACATATTTTTACTAAAAATGTGTCAATAAATATATGGAATCAGAGTGCTGACTGTTTTGAGTACAAAGTGATTTTCATATTAAGTTTAAAAATACTTTTCTTCATTTGTGCAACCTCTAAAACCTCCTAAATATATATGAAAAGTTTTTTTTTCATAAAAAAATATTTTATTTCTTATTTTCTCTACCATAACTCTAAATGGGGTTGTTCGATTTGACTGGCCTCATAAATGCCATATAAAATTAAGAAATAAATGTAAATTATAATTTTTTTCTTTCTAGAATTACTGCAAATTGTAACAGGAAATCACAATTTTTTATTCTAAATAGCTAAAAGCTCGAAACAGTATATATCCTTTTCTACTTAATTTTATTACTTTATTGACCTTTCAACCATGTGTAACTAATAATTCTTCCACACAAGTTGTAAATCATTTGGCAAATGTGCAGCTTACATTATCATATCAAATAATGTAACACATGAGCTGCTGGCAAGCATACCTTGTGAAGAATTATTATTATTTTCATTATCTTATCTAATCTAACATAATAAGTTTTTAATTTTGACATTTTAGTTACTTTTATAATAATAAATAAAGAATACACAAGAAATACAGTACTTTCTACTGGTCTTAGTTTCTTTTGCTGTCAACTGTCGAGGAAGGTTAAGCCTACTTTTTTATACTAATGGTACTACTACTACACTAAATAATTTTTACTTAAATATATAATGCACTTAAGAACATAGAATAATAACATGCAAACGACAAACACTGTCCTATAACCATCATAATTTTTCTGGCTTTCTAATTATACAAAACTTAGCTAAGCTCATCAATATGATTCCTGTGAGAAAAAATTTGAAACTGGATGACAAAGTAGACAATGCCCTGCAAAGAAAACAATGTAATATAATACATCATTTGATAGATTAAAACTCTGGCTTTCTATTGGTTATAAATAATATAGTATAAAACATCAGATAAAACTATTGGCAATTTGTGAAAGAGAGGATGTGAAAGGTGGGTATAGCAAGTGGGTCGGATTTTCTAGTTTATGGCTCGGTAAACAAATAAGATTAAAGGCTATAATAAAATATACTTTGCCTGAGTAATATTTATATTATAATGAGTAATTTATATTAAGTTCTGTACTTCTCAGAGGGGTAGTACATAAATTAGAGAAGAGGGAAGACCTAGAGAACAAATGTTCAAATTTTCATACTAGGAGAAATTGAGGATTTTTTCAAATATTTTCTTATAAAAATGAAACTTAAGACATAAATAATATTAAAATTTGATTTATTAACTAAACTTTGATAACACGTTTATTCATATACATTGAGTAAAGTAGCTTAACTAAATTTTGAATGAAACTCTGTGCCCTTTGACCAACCCGATACAAAAGGATTACGTAGTCATGATGAAAGGTTATTTGATTCTACGATATTACAACACGT